ATCTAGATGTTTAAAAGAATACTGGTTGGTGATGTTCTAGAATATAATGTACCTCAGTTTGGTTTTGTGTACTGCTTGTGCATTAGATTTGCGTTAGGCATTTTTGGTGGGAATACCACAGAAGGGATGCTGTGTTCTTCCCAGTGCACTGTATTGGGAGGCACGTGATACCTATTTTTCTCATTACAAGTGATGTTAACGTGGATCACTTGGTTAAGGTGATGTTTAATACGTTTCTCCATGGTGCAGGGCGTGGTGGTTCAAGCCTGCAATCCCAGCACTTTGGGAGGCTGAGGCAGGCAGATCACCTGAAGTCAGGGGTTCAAGACCAGCCTGGCCAACATGGTGAAATCCTATCTCTACTAAAAATACAAAAAAAAAAAAAAAAAATTAGCCAGGCGTGGTGGCAAGTGCCTGTAATCCCAGCCACTCAGGAGGCTGAGGCAGGAGAACTGCTTGAACCCGGGGAGCAGAGATTGCAGTGAGCCAAGATTGCACCACTGCACTCCAGCCTGGGCAATAGAGTGTAACTGTCTCAAAAAAAAAAAAAAGTTTCTTCATGGCACAGTCACTCTTTTCTTTGTGATTAACAATTATTTTATAGGGAGATACTTTAGGCTATAATCTGCCTTTAATTATACTTTTGGCCACTAATTTTAGTATCAATTGATTATCGTTAATCACCTCTTCCAAACTATTACTTTGGTATTGCCAATTGGCAATTTTTTTAACTTTTATTTTAGGCTCAGGTTTGTTATATAGGTAAAGTCATATCATGGGGGTTTGTTGTAGGAATTGTTTTGTCACCCAGGAACTAAGCCTAGCACCCAATAGTTATTTTTTCTGCTTGTCTCTCTCCAACCCTCCACTCTCACGTAGGCCCCAGTGTGTATTGTTCCCTTCTTTTGTGCATGAGTTCTCATCATTTAGCTCCCAATTTTAAGTGACAAAATGCGGTATTTGGTTTTCTGTTCTTGTATTAGTTTGCCAAGGATAATGGCCTCCAGCTCGTCCATGTTCCTGCAAAGTACAGGATCTTAGTTTTTCATTTTTTTTTTTTTTTTTTTTTTTGCCAATCAGTTTGAGCTTATGAGGTTGCTCAGGTTAGCCTTGAACTCAAGACCTCGCCTTCACAAGCGCCACGACCTCCGGCAGGAGCCACTTTGGCCCCTCGTTTTTGTTTTTAAGACAGAGCTTTGCTCTGTCACCCAGGCTGGAGTGCAATGGCATGATCTCGGCTCACTGCAACCTCCACCTCTCGGGTTCAAGCGATTCTCCTGCCTCAGCCTCCTGAGTAGCTGGGATTATAGGTGTGTGCCACGATGCCTGGCTAATTTTTGTATTTTTAGTAGAGACTGGGTTTTGCCATGTTGACTAGGCTGGTCTCAAACTCCTGACCTCAGGTGATCCGCTCACCTCAGCCTCCCAAAGCGCTGGGATTACAGGCATGAGCCACCACACCTGGCCCCAACCTATTTTTATCTACCTTCTCTAGATAAAGAAGGCTATTCATTTCTTATGTATGCTTCCTGTGTTTCTTTTAACCCAAATGAGCAGAAACGTGTGTATCCCCTTCTTTCTCCATCTGTTGTTACAGGAAAGCCAGCGAACTGTGGACACCCCTTGCCCCTTTGCCTTTTTCACTTAATGTTGTATCCTGGAACTCATTCCGTACAAATGCACAGAGATCTCGGCCATGCTTTGCTGCAGCTGCACAGTGCTCCATTTTGTGGCAGTGGCGTATTGTCTTCAACCCCTCTCCTACGTATAAGCATTTAGGCCGTTTCCAGGATTTTGCAATTACAAACCATGTTGCAATATGCTTTTTTTGCATATATGTTTTTGCAATGTTGGAAGTATGAGTTCAAGCTAAATCCTAGAATTAGGACTGCTCAGTCAGAAAGTTAATACATGCGTCATTTGGTTAGATATTGCCAAATCCGGCCAGGTGCGGTGGCTCAGGCCTGTAATCCCAGCACTTTAGAAGACCGAGGCAATAGGATCGCTTGAGCCAGGGAGTTGGAAACCAGCCTAGGTAATGTGGCGAAACCCTGTCTCTATTAATTTTTTCAAATGATATTGCCAAATTCCTATCCAAAAAGACCATATGTCTTCATGACCACCAGCAATTTGTGAGAGTGCTTCAAGTACCCTTTTAAACAAGAAGCGATGTTTCCAGAGCGTTAAAACAGAAGTAATTTCAAAACCATGTTGTGCAAGATGCTCACACAAACAGGTGTGCACTTAATGGACTAAGCTAGTTCAGCTGACATGTTATCTTCATTAGGAACCATGTGGAGACTGAAAAACTAATTTAGCCTAGAGCAGCTATTCAACTGTAAAGGCTTCTTTCTCAAATATTGATTTACTATGTGAGGAAGTATTTGTACAGAAGTGCATGGAATGGACGCAGGGGTTGACCCACATATGTGGTTTGGTGGACACATGTCCTCATCACAGAGGGTGTAATGAAGAGAGTGGTTCAGCAACATGAGAAAGGGAAAAAAGAGAAAGACGACAGAGGCGGCCTCCCAAGCATCCACTCCCACTCCTCTTGTGAATGATTCACAATTTGTTGTTATTGCCATTTACTGTTCTCCACGCCTTTCCACAGAGCCTGTATGCTTTGAAGGAATTTGTCTCTACTCAGGATAGACATGGGCACATGGCTCAGGCCCAAGATGACCAATCTCATTCCCTGATGCTTGTTAATGTTCCACATGCAGACCTGCTGCCCTAGGTAGAGAAGAGGCCAAGGTCGACAATATGAATCTGACAAGTGAAAAGAAATTAGGTACTTGGTTGCCTAATCAAGCCTCTGCATTAAACTAACCTTGAAGCCTGTCTTGCCTTTGGACTTCTAGTGATGTTACCCAGTAAAGCCCATTTATTGTTTCAGTAAATAAGTTGGGTTTTCTGGGACTTGCAACCAAAACCATTATAATTTACAAAATGAGCAACTTTAGTGTTACCCATGAGAAATATTTTATTGGTTCATGCTCTTTCCTAGTGCTTTTTTTTTTTTTTTTTTTTTTGAGACAGAGTCTTGTTCTGTCACCCAGGCTGCAGTGTGGTGGTGTGATCTTGACTCACTGCAACCTCCGCCTCCCAGGTTCAAGCGATTCTCCTGTCTCAGCCTCCTGAGTAGCTGGAATTACAGGCGTGTGCCACCATACCTAGCTAATTACTGTATTTTTAGTAGAGACAGGGTTTCACCATGTTGGCCAGGCTGGTCTCGAACTCCTGACTTCAAGTGATCCGTCCACCTCGGCCTCCCAAAGTGCTGGGACTCCAGGCCTGAGCCACTGCGCCCAGCCCAAATTTTTCTCTTAAAGCCCAAAGATGGACATTATCATTGCCAGCTCTAAATTTTTAGTTCTTCAGATCCTAAAACTAAGATCCAAACCTTTATCAAGAAAGTTTAATAAGGCTGGGCATGATGGCTCTCACCTGTAATCACAGCAATTTGGGAGGGAGGGTGAGGTAGGTGGATCACTTGAGGTCAGGAGTTCGAGACCAGGCTGGCCAACATCGTGAAACCCCTTTCTCTACCAAAAATACAAAAATTAGCTGGGCATGGTGGCATGCACTTGTAATCCCAGATATGCTGGAGGCTGAGGCCTGAGAATTGCTTGAAGCTGAAAGGTGGAAGCTGCCAACAAGAAATAAATAGTACAAAGGTCTTTAGGTTAGGTGAAAGACATATTCATCTATTTTGAATCTTTCTCCCTTTCTTAATGATAATTACTGGCTGGGCGCAGTGGCTCATGCCTGTAATCCGGAACTTTAGGAGGCTGAGGCAGCAGGATCACCTGAGGTCAGGATTTTGAGAACAGCCTGGCCAACATGGAGAAAACCTGTCTCTACTAAAAATACAAAAAATTAGCCGAGCATGGTGGCGGATACCTGTAATCCCAGCTACTAGGGAGGCTGAGGCAGGAGAATCGCTTGAACCCGGTAGGCAGAGTATGCAGTGAGCCAAGATTGTGGCACTGGACTCCCGTCTGAGTGACAGATAGAGACTCCATCCCCCCTCCAAAAAAAATTATATTTACTTTTCCCCTTCCCTGAGCTTTCGCTTTGCTCACTCAAAACTTTTTAAGATGGAGTTTCCCTCTTGTTGCCCAGGCTGGAGTGCAGTGGGGTGATCTCAGCTCACTGCAACCTCCGCCTCCCGGGTTCAAGCGATTCTCCTGCTTTAGCCTCCTGAGTAGCTGGGATTACAGATGCTGACCACTGGCCCGGCTAATTTTTGTATATTTAGTAGAGACGGGGTTTCACCATATTGGCCAGGCTGATCTCGAACTCTTGACCTCAAGTGATCCTCTTGGCTACCTCAAAAATCAACTTGATAGGCCGGGCGTGGTTACTCACCTGTGATCCCAGCACTTTGGGGGGCGGAGGCGTGCGGATCACAAGGTCAGAAGATGGAGACCATCCTGGCTAACACGGTGAAACGCCGTCTCTACTAAAAATACAAAAATCAGCCAGATTGCACGCGCCTGTAGTCCTGGTTCCTCGGGAGGCTGAGGCAGGGGAATCGCTTGAATCTGGGAGGCGGAGGTTGCAGTGAGCGGAGACAGGGCCACTGCACTCCAGTTTGAGTGACAGAGCAAATCTCCGTCTCAAAAACAACAAAAAAGCAACTTGATAAATCCACAGTCTCGGTATACTTAAAAAATTCTTTTAAATTTAGCATACTTTCATCTTTTTTTTTTTTTTTAGAATTAACCATGAATCACACTCACCCGAGAATGGACAAAAAGGCCTGCTTGTGCAGTATATATATTTTAATGGGTAAACAAACTACGTAAGGCCAGTTTTACCTAATGTAATAGTAACGAACCGAAGTTTACGACAGAGAAGAAAAGCACCAATTGTCCCCTTACCGCCACCCCTGCCCAGTCTCCAAGGAGACGCCGGAGAGCGCCGCGGGGTACGCGGGAGTCTGACGTCACGAGAGCTGGCGGGCGTAGGTGGCCCGCACACCGCATTGCGCATGCTCCCGCCTTGGCGGCCTATCTCCGTGCGCACGCGCGCGGATGGGCGGGTTTGACTGGCTGTAGGGTCCGCGCCGTCGGTGATTGGCGTTGGCGGCGGGAAGGTTGAGTTCCTGGTGCGCCGAGCCTGCAGGGCGATGTGTAGTGACTTCCATAGGGCTGAGTCTGGGACCGAGGTGAGAGCCGCCGGGTGGGGGGCGAGGGAGATGGGAACGAGGCCGCCAATGGGCGAGGGGAGCTGAGGGAGCCCGGGGGGCTGGGAGGCTTGGGCCGGGCGGGGACCGGGCGCTCGGTCTGGAGGCCGGCGATGCTGGCACCCTCCGCCGCCTCTCACCTGGGCCCCAGAGGTCCGCCCCTGGGCAGCCTGGAGTCCTCCTAAGTGGGAGGACCGAGCGGAGATGGAGGAAGTCTACCGTTGGAGATGGCAAGCTACGCAAGAAAAGCTAGAAAAGGGCGGGTCGCCCGCTGGAGCGTTTGGAGCGTTTCTGGAACAGGTGGTGTTTGGGGAGGTTACTTCGCCTCCCTGTAGCCCACATGTGTCTGCTTAGTATATCTGGCCCTCGCCACCCCAGGGTGCGTTTCCAGCCCTCGAGAATTGAACCAAGTGTCCAGCGCTTGCTGGGGTATCTCAGCTACGGGTTAAGGGATAGGAGTAAACAGCAAAAGACCTAAGTTGTGCTGTGAATGAACTAGTAAGGGCGGCCGCTGTAAAGAACTACAGTATATGCACGAAAGTTCCTATCCGTTAGAGGGGCGGGCGTCATGGAAGACGCAGGAGGAGATGAGTGAAGTTTCGAGGACCATTGAGGTGGTTTGGTAAGGCGAGGATGACTTTCAAGCAGAGACAGCTGGGAGTACATGGGCTCTGAATTAAGCGAGAGCATGGCTTATTTAGGGAACTGCAAGGAGTTCTGTAAGACTGGAACAAACCGAGCGAGTGAGGGCAGCAGGCTGGGAAGTCAGCGCTGAGCAATAGGCGGGGTGTGCAGGATCTTTGACGCAGCTGAGAGAGGAAGCAATCTCAAAAGAGTCAGCAAACTGTTTTGTGGAGGGTCGTGTGGTGAATATTTAGGCTTTGCAGGCCATGCCGCTTCTGTCATAACCACTCAACTCTGCTGTTCTAACGGGAATGCAGCCATATGGCACACGGCAGTGTTCCAGTAAAGCTTTATGTTTCGGATTTGGCCTGCTGGCCATAGTTTGACAATCCCTGTTCCTGAAGAGGAGAGCCACTGTTTAGTATAAGAATGGCTACAGTTAAAACCATACATATATTTAACAATACATATAATATGTACAATACCTAGTATATAATATATATTAAAACATATTTATATATATGTATATATATTTTTTGAGATGAAATCTCACTCTGTCACCCAGGCTGGAGTACAGTGGTGCTATCTCAACTCACTGCAACTTCTGCCTCCCAGGTTCAAGAGGTTCTCCTGTCTCTCCCTCCCAAACAGCTAGGATTACAGGTATGCGCCACCTCACTCGGCTATTATTTGTAATTTTAGTAGAGACAGGGTTTCGCCGTGTTGGCCAGGCTAGTCTCGAACTCCTGACCTCAGGTGATCCACCTGCCTCAGCCTCCCAAAATGCTGGGATTACAGGCGTGAACCACCGCTCCCCACCAAAACCTTATATTTAAATGATTATTTGAAACCCAGGTTAAGGTCCAATGATTTTTGCAGTCGGAACAAGCCTAGCATCCAAAAAATGGGAATCTAGCACAGTCACGTCATGTAACAAAGAATTTAACATCATGTCCTTTGCCTCCCTTGTCTGTGTGGCAATCCTGAGCCTAGCTCATATTACTTTGGAGTAGAGTGGGGTGGAATGGAGAATAGGAAGCTAGGGAATTGGCGCTGCCCTATTTTCCTTGTATTAACGAAACCAGGTAAGCCAGCCACTTTCCCCTTAAGTGTCTTGGGGAATTCTATGGCCACTGTCAAATTTGTTTGAACGCTAGCTTCTTTGGACATTCATCTACTTTGAGGTTACTTGGAGGCATTGTGTTGAGGAATATATCTGAAGTCATAAGCTAACCCAAGAAACTGAAATAACCCACTTTAATTTTTTTTTTTTTTTGAGACGGAGTCTTGCTCTGTTGCCCAGGCTGGAGTGCAGTGGTGTGATCTTAGCTCACTGCAACCTCCGTCTCCTGGGTTCAAGCAACTCTCCTGCCTCAGCCTCCTGAGTAGCTGGGACTACAGGGGCGTGCCACCACGCCTAGCTAATTTTTGTTTGTTTGTTTGTTTAGTAGAGATTTTCACTATGTTGGCCAGGCTGGTCTTGAATTCCTGACCTTGTGGTCCACCTGCCTTGGCCTCCCAAAGTGCTGGGGATTACACGTGTGAGCCACTGCTCCCTGCCTACTTTAAAATTTTAATTCACTAGAACTAGAACCTAATAAAATAGTTAACCTTTCTTGTGAGTAGCAGGGAAAAGACATTTCATATGGGGTCAAAGTTGTAAGAATATTTATTTATTTATTTTTTTTTGAGATGGAGTTTCGCTGTTGTCATCCAGACTGGAGTAATGGCACGATCTCGGCTCACCGCAACCTCCACCTCATGGGTTCAAGCAATTCTCCTGCCTCAGCCTCCTGAGCAGCTGGGACGACAGGTGTGCACCACCATGCCCAGCTAATTTTTATATTTTTAGTACAGACGGGGTTTCACCCTGTTGACCAGGATGGTCTCGATCTCTTGACCTTGTGATCCACCCACCTCGGCCTCCCAAAGTGCTGGGATTATAGGCGTGAGCCACTGCGCCCGACCAAGAATATTTTTTTTAGGTTGGGCATGGTGGCTCACTCCCGTAATCCTAGCACTTTGGGAGGCTGAGGCAGGTGGATCACTTAAGGTCAGGAGTTCAAGACCAGCCTGATCAACATGATGAAACCCTCTGTCTATTAAAAATAAAAAAAATTACCCGGGCATGGTAGTGGGCACTGTAATCCTGGCTACTTAGGAGGCTGAGGGAGGAGAATCGCTTGAACCTGGGAGGCAGAGGTTTCAGTGAGTTGACATCATGCCACTGCACTCCAGCCTGAGTGACAGAGCAAGACTCCGTCTTAAAAAACAAACAAAAAATATTTTTTTTAGCAGATTCTAAGGATGAAGTTTATGATAAGCCAGGTGGCGAGTGGAAAACATATGTGATCTTGATTTTAAAAAGACAAGCATTTGACTACAGTTTACAATAGAACAATCCATTTTTACCTTGTCTTTGCACAGTAGCAGTGGAATTTTTACTTCTAAATCTCACTGAGGTTGTGAGAAAAGATTCAGTGATTTGGGCAGTATTTTGGTATCATCTACCAAATGGCCTCATTTGCTTATAGTTGTTAAAAAATGGTGTACTTTGCATTTTTTCAAGAATGCTAATATGCCTTACGTTAAAAAATAATAAAAAATTGGAAGTGTCTGTCCAGTTTTGGTTGCTATGCACAGGATTCCATCCTTTCTTTAAAAAACTAACCCCATTATATTATTTTTTGAGACGGAGTTTCACACTTGTTACCCAGGCTGGATCGTGCAATGGCACGATCTCGGCTCACCGCAACCTCCGCCTCCTGGGTTCAGGCAGTTCTCCTGCTTCAGCCTCCTGAGTAGCTGGGATTACAGGCACGCGCCACCATGCTCAGCTAATTTTTTGCATTTTTAGTAGAGACGGGGTTTCACCAAATTGACCAGGATGGTCTCGATCTCTTGACCTCGTGATCCACCCGCCTCGGCCTCCCAAAGTGCTGGGATTACAGGCTTGAGCCACTGCGCCCGGCCCCTATATTTATTATTAAATCAAGTCATGTACATGGCAGAAAATTCCAATAGCACTGAAGTGAAAAGCAGGAAATGTCTCCCAGTCTCATTATCATTTCCCAAGAATAGCCCTGTGAATATTTGTACATTCTTCCAGGAATTTTCTGATGACATATTTTGGAGGCTTAGATTCAGAAAATGCTGGTCTGGAAGTTCAGAAAGCTTGTTTCTGCTAGGAACAAGCATTGTGATTTTGGCTATCATTTAACCTTTGCTATATCTTTGTAAAATGAGGGTGGTAGACCAACTTCTCAGTTCCTTTACAGTTCTTCCTTAAGGAAGTGGATTCATATACTTCTTTGTATCCTTTGAACTAAACACAGTGTCTGCCTAGTAAACTTAAATTTTTACTGATAATAACATTGATTTTCCTTTTTTATTTATTTATTTTTTTTTTGAGATGGAGTTTTGCTCTTGTTGCCCAGGCTGGAGTGCAATAGTGCAATCTCAGCTCACCATAGCCTCTGTCTCCCAGGTTCAAGCGATTCTCCTGCCTCAGCCTCCTGAGTAGCTGGCATGCACCACCACACCCGGCTAATTTTTGTATTTTTAGTAGAGTCGGGGTTTCTCCATGTTGGTCAGCCTGGTCTTGAACTCCCGACCTCAGGTGATCCTCCAGCTTCCTCCTCCCAAAGTGCTGGGATTATAGGTATGAGCCACTGTGCTGGCCTGGTTTTCTTAAAAAGAAAAGCTACAGAGTGATCTTGCTAGAGGCAAATATTACATAAGATAAATATTTAATATTTCTTTTAAAATAATAATTGAGGGACAGTTGCCTCCTTAGTGCAGTAGGCAGTGCGTCAGTCTCATAAAATAATAATTGGTGTTGTATAATCACACACTTTTAGAATAATGCTTATCACCTTTTATCTTTGCTTCCTTTTTACCCCTCCATGTTCCTTCATTACAATTATTCCATTATAATTGTCATCAAATTACTTGCCTCTTACCACTTCTAACCTATTTACCTAACCATGGTGAAACCCAACTGTCTATTTCCACTCAGCTGAATATTACTAGAGAGAATCACAACTAGGCTGACTGATTTTAAATTTATATATTTATTTTCATTTTTTTGAGAAAGCGTCTCACTCTGTCACCCAGGCTGGATGGCAGTGGCACTATTACAGCTCCCTGCAGCCTTGACGTCCTGGTTCATGTGATTTTTCCACTTCAGCCTCCTGAGTAGCTGGGACTGCAGGGACACACTACCACACCTGGCTAATCTTTGTATTTTTTGTAGTGATGGGGTTTTGCCATGTTGCCCAAGCTGGTCTCAACTCCTGGGCTCAAGCGATCTACCTCCCTCGGCCTCCCAAAGTGCTGGGATTACAGGTGTGAGCCGC